CACGGGCAAGAGCGTCGGAGGAGGAGGAGGAGGAGAAACGGAGGAGAAGGAGTTGGAGGAGGAAGAGGGGGGGGTCTGGAATGAGACGTTGGGGGTCTGGGCCCATCGGGGTCGAAGTCGAATGGGAGGCGCTGGTCACGGGCAAGAGCGTGCGCTTCGGCGGCGTCCCGCACGGGGAGTTCGGCGGCGTGTGCACGGCCAGCCTGCGCACGTACGTGCAGGAGATGCTGGCCGAGCTGGGCCTTGACGAGGCTTCAATCGGGCGCGTCCCTCCACAGGAGGAAGATCCAAAGATAGTGTTGACAAAAAATACGCTGGGGACGATTTGTGTTTGTCCCTGTTTCAGACCATGTTTGGGGCGTTGTTCTGGCTATTTTTCCTGCTTCGTCCAAAGATCCGCCTGTAGGAGGGCATGCCCGACCAAAAACGAGGCGCGCATCACCAAGGTGCAGATCGGCGGGCCGAGCAGCCAGCTGGGGTCCAACCAGATCCTCCGGTCCAAGGACAGGACGATCGCCGTGGTGGACTTCTCCGGCGTGCTGTACGACCCCGCGGGGCTGAACCGCGCGGAGCTCGGCGCGCTGGCGCACAGGCGGGTGCCGGTGAGGGAGTTCACCAGGTCGTTTCTAGGAGAGGGCGGGTTTCTCATCACCAGCACCGACACGGACGTGGAGCTTCCCGACGGCTCGCGGTGGCGGAGCGGGGCCCAGCTGATAGGGGAGTTCCACCTCACGGACTTCGCCGCCGCGGACCTCTTCTTGCCCTGCGAGGGCCGGCCCAACTCGCTGTCCTCGGAGAACGTCGGCCGGTTTTTCAAGGACGGCAAGCCCAAGTTCAAGATGGTGGTTGAGGGATCGGACATGTACTTGTCCGAGAGCGCCTGCGCCACTCTCGAGCGTGCTGGCGTGCATGTTTTCAAGGACGCCTCCACCATGAAGGGCGGCGTGACTTGCTCCTCCATGGAGGTGCTCGCAGCGCTGGCGCTTCCGGCGGAGGACCACTCCGAGCTCATGTGTTACGATCCTAAGGCGTGCAAGGAGCCGCCCGAGTTCTACATCAAGTACGCAGAGCAAATACAGGAAGCCATCTTCCAGAATGCCCGCTTGGAGTTTCACGCCATCTGGAGCTGCAATCAGAAAGATGGGATGCCCAAGGTGGAGGCGACCCGGAGGCTGTCGACGCACATCAACCAGGTGAAAGACAATTTCGAGAGGCACTTCGACGTCATGTCCGAGGCCGAGAGGGGCCTGCTGGTGCGGAACGTGCTGACCATGGGCGCGGTGCCCAGGGTGCTGCTGGACAGGCTCGGGGTCGAGCGCGTCGTCCAGCGGGTGCCGCCCAACTACCTGTTGTCCATGGTGGGCGCTTGGATCGCGTCCAGGTACGTTTACTGCCACGGCTTCAGCGCCTCCGAGGTTCGGCGGCGAGCGAGGGGGGGAAGTGCGACGGAGAAGGCCTTATCAGAAGGCGGCGTGGCCTCTCAGAGACCCTCGAGCCCTCTGAGGAGTCCCTCCCGCGTCTCCGGGCCAACGCCTCGAAGACCTCTCAGAAGGCCCGGGGGGGGGGGGGGGGGGCGGCTTCCGAGCCTTCCGAGGAGGCCCGCCCCTTCTCGCCTGCCCCCCCCGCCGCCTCGCCGCCTGGAGGTAGCCTAAGAAAGTCCAGGGCTCGCTAGGGGTAAGTCGGGCATGTCCCTCTACAGGAGGAATATTCAAAAAGTGTCCCAAAAAATAGTCTGGGAACGATCTTCCGATGATTCTTTGTGGAGGGTTTCGGGGTGGGTTTTGGAGGGGTTTTCGTTGTTGTTTTGCGGGGGAGGCTTTTCGGAGGGCTTTCTGAGGGGGTTTTGTAAGGGTTTTCGCAGCTTTCTGGGGGGGCGTCAAAGAGGGGGCGCAAATCATGGCCAGCGGCATGTGCGCGGCCCAGGGGGGGGGGGGGCCAGGGACGCAATGAAAGAAGAAGCGGCGCCATGAAGCCTGGGGAAAGATCATGGACCCCGCCACGATATCCCCCCCCTTAGTTCTCACCCCGCTCTCTGCCGCCCCCGATGTTTCTTTTTCGGAAGGGGGGGCCCCAGCTCCTGCAGCGAGCCCTGGGCCTCCGCGGCCCAGGGCTCGCTGCAGGAGGAGGAGGAGGAGAGGAGGGAGGAGAGAGGAGGAGGAGGGGAGGAGGAGGAGGAGGAGGAGGAGGAGAGGAGAGGAGGAGGGAGGAGAGGAGGAGGAGGAGAGGAGGAGGAGGAGGAGGAGGAGGGAGGAGGGGAGGAGGAGGAGGAGGAGGAGGAGGAGGAGGAGGAGGAGGAGGAGGAGGAGGAGGAGGAGGAGGAGGAGGAGAGGAGGGGGATGTAGAGGAGGAGGGAGGAGGGAGGAGGAGAGGATAGGAAGGGAGGGAGGAGGTCGCCCTACCTCTCCCACGGAGCTCCTGCGGCCCGACGCGCCGGCCTCCTCCGCGGCCGCCCGGGAGCTGCTGCGCCTCTCCCGGCCCCGGGCCCGCCCCGGCGCCCCGCGGGCGCCCAGCGGCTCCGGGGCCGCAGCGCCGGGCCCCCCGCCCTGCGCGGCGCCGGCCCCCGCGGCAGCGCCGGCCGCGGAGGACACCTCCTCCTCCTCCTCCTCCTCCTCCTCCTCCTCCTCCTCCTCCTCCTCCTCCTCCTCCTCCTGCTGCTCTTCCTGCTCCTCCTGCTCCTCCTCTCTCGTCCTCCTCCTCCTCTCGTCCCTCCTCCTCTCTCGTCCTTCTTTGTTCCTCCTCTTCCTTGTCCTTTTCTTCTTCTCCTCCTCCTCCTCCTCCTCCTCCTCCTCCTCCTCCTCCTCCTCCTCCTCCTCCTCCTCCTCCTCCTGCCCCTCCTCGGAGGACAAGAACTAGGGGAGCGAAGAGTGACACGAGCGCAAAAGCTCGGAGCTCCGCGCGGAGTTCTCGGATATTTGCGCTGGGGCCCCCTGAGGCGGCGCCTCCGGCGCCGCCCCTGGCGCGCTCCGCGCGCCATGGGAGGGGGGTCCCAGCGCCGATCCGAGGAATCCGCGCGGGCCTCCGAGCTGTGACGTGCATGTCGTGCCTCGTTCTCTTACGAAGAAGCGCCTGCTGCTCCACGCCGCGGTGCCGGCCGCGGCCAGGGCGCGCGCGAGCTCCGCGCTGATGTGAGAGGCATGGCTCGAGCGAAGCGGCGTCGTGGGCCGTTTTCGTTTGGACTTCGGATTGCTGCAGAGGCAGAGCGAAGGCACAGCGGAGGCAGGCGAGAACAAAACGAGGAAGAGAAGCACGGCTCAGCTCTAGCCCTGATGTGAGGGCCTGCGCCGCGGTGCCGGCCGCGGCCAGGGCGCGCACACGTTGCGCGCTGATGTGAGGGCCCAGCCTGGGTGGCGCGTCGTCGGACCTGTTGGTTTCTAGGCCTCCCAGATGGGGCCGGAGTGGCTGTCGTCGGAGGACTGCGCCGCATCACCGGTGCGTCGCCCATGCATCTCCGATGCACCGGCGACATCGGAGATGCACCGGCGCCGTTGGCGTGAAGAAGATATGGCACGACACCCCAACGCGGCTGAATGCGGAGCCAGATTTTCTCCACGCCAACGGCGCCGATGCATCTCCGACGTCGCCGATGCATTGCTGAAGCATCGGCGATGCGGAGTGATCCCCCGACCACATCTACGCACTCCAGCCCCATTTGGGAGGCCTCTATGTGTGCTCTCTTGGGGCATCTCGGCTGCCTGCGCCATCTTCGGAGATTCTTGGGATAGCCTTGGGACGCCATCGAGGCCTCTCGGAGAGCCTCTCGGGCGACTTTGGACCCCCAAGCCTTTTGAGCACAACTTATGGGGTTATGTTGGGATCCCTACAGTGCCCTATGGGAGCCCTGTGGGTTCCCATACGCTTCTGCTGCGATCCCAGAGGAACCCTTTGGGAGCCTCGTGGGTTCCTATGGGTTTCTGTTGGGATCCCAGAGGAACCCCGTAGGACCCTGTCGACCACATCCGCTGGCAACCCCTCTCTCGGGTGCTGCCAGGGCTGGCCCTGGCCCAAAGCGTACCCCGCTTCGCCAGGGAAGCAGGCAGGGGGCCCTTCGGGCCGCCCCACACGAGGTCCAGAGGGCTCACGGGATCCCAGCATGGAGCGGCAAGGCGGGGGCGCCCTGGGACGGGGACACCTTTTGGCAGCCCCCGGCTCTCCCCTCCCCCCCCGTCCTCGGCGGCTCCGCCGCGGCCGCTCGGCGGCGGCTGGTTTCAAGATCGGCGCTCCCCGAGGAAAAAAATGGCAGGGTTGCCCTTCCCGCGCGGTACCGTCTCGCCAAGCCCCCCGATGGTCTTCATGGCTACTTGGTCTTGTCTCCGTCCTCCCTCCTCGTCTTGTGTCCGTCCTCCCTCCCCGTCCTCCTTCGTCCAAGCTCTTTCCTCTCCCCTCCTCCAGCCTGCCTCCTCCTTCCTCCCACTCCTCCTCCTCCATCCTCCCCCACCCTGTTCCATTATCCTGCTGCTCTTGCTCATCCCCCTTCCCCCTTTCTTCCTTCGCCAGTCCGCAGGGGCGGTATCCCCCCGACGCCGTCATCCCCCGTCCTCTTCTTCCTCCATCCTCCACAACCCTCCCCCATCATCGTCGGAGGGTCTTCTTCCCAGACGGTCATCTTACTGAAAGCAGCTGGCAAGGGCTCTGAAAGGGGACGAGACAGGTCACGAGTCGCCCTCGCAACGATGCCCCGATGGCCCCAGCGACCCACAGATACACTAAAGCACCTGTGGAGGCTCAACGACCGTCGTCGAATGTGCCCCGAGATCTCTTACGGCCAGATCTCTCATCGTGCGCGCCGACTGTATACTTCGAGAAACAGAAATGACATAAACATGAATTGTCGGAGCTCCGCGCGGATTTCTTGCATCGGCGCCGGCACCGCCCCATGGAGCGCCCCGCGCGGCCGGAAGGGGGTCCCAGTGCCGTCCCAGGAGATCTGCGCTGGCCTCCAAAGTCTGATGTTCATGTCATGTGTTGCTCCTCGGATCGGGCAAAGCGAACTATGCACATGCACCGATCCTGGCAAGGCCCATCCTTGACCCAGGATCGGTGCACATGCCTTCCTGGCCACGGCAGGAGGGCGGATGCACCGATCCTGGGCTCAGGATGTGCCTGGCCAGAATCGGTGCATGTGCACAGTTCTTTTTCCCCTCTCGAACTCTGGCGCGCGCGTTGCCGAGCTCGTCCCCCCAAGGCGTGCCTGCGCTCGGGGCTCCTGCTCTGGAGGGGGGCCGGCCCTGCCAGCCGCAGGGTCGGCCGTTGGCGCGCGGGTGCCCCGCCGCCCTCTTGGGGGGGGGACCTCCTCCTCGCTCCTCGCTCCTCGCTCCTCGCTCCTCGCTCCTCCTCCTCCTCCTCCTCCTCCTCCTCCTCCTCCTCCTCCTCCTCCTCCTCCTCCTCCTCCTCCTCCTCCTCCTCGCTCCCCCGCCCCTCCTCGCTCGCCGCCGAGGTTCTCTGGCCCCGCAGGTCGGGCGCAGCACCGTCGGACCGAGGTGTGAGATCGAGGTCGGTTCGGGGAGGGCGCCTTGTGATGTGTTTCGTGTGTGCTGGGACGCTCTTGTGAATCCTGGGGGGGGGTCCCTGGGCGGTTCTGTGTGCGTTTGGGCCGGCAGGGGTTCTCATGTTCTTGAAGGATGGTCTTCCGTCCTGGCGATGACGGGCGCGGCTCTAGGTACATCCCCCTGGGAAAGCTGATGACAAAAGTGGCACAGGGATGGAAGCCGAAACGATGTTGAACCAGACCAGGCGAGGCCCGTCGCATCAAGTGACATCCGCCTGCAAATATTCCGTAAGAACGTCTCCTCTGCACTGCGCGGTGCATGTTAGCCATCCGACTGTGGGAACGAATCCGCAAGGCAGAACGTGGAACCGCTCACGCCACCGGCCTTGCGAAGGGTTAACTTGGAAGAGGACCCTGGCATTAAGTGGCATCCGCCTTCCAATGTTGCCACAAGGCGCACAAGCCAAAGCACTTATGGCATATCGATAGCCTGACCCATGGTGCAAGGCGAATATCACATCCTCTTTGGGTGTTGCCGTTCGTAGATCATTCCAAATGATCGTTCTGTTGGTTTAGTTATGATTCTTCCCGGCTGTGCAGGCAAGCCGGATGGGATCCACGGATCGCACTGCAAGGCCGGCGCATCGGAGACGCAGCTCGATGTGGAGCGCGGTTCTCTCTACGCGGCCGTCGCCGTTGAATCGCCGACGTCGCCGATGCATCGCCGAAGCATCCGCGATGCGGCGCGATTCTCCGACCCCATCTACTCGGACCCCATGTAGGAGGCCTCCAGTGACACAGGGGGGAGGGCGGGCGACGGGGCCGGTCGCGCCGCGACTCGCGCTGGCGCCGTCTCGGGAAGCTTGAGAGTGGCCCACTCCCAGGCGGCGCCGGCGCGACTCGTGACGAAACCTGGAAGAGCGGGGAGGGGGGTTGGGCAGAACCTGCCCCGGGCAACAAAAAAAAACGAGAAGCGCACCCAACCAGAAGCCAGTCGCAGGAGGGCCAGTTGAGACAGCGGCAGCCCTCCCCGGCGTTCCTCGCCCTCTCTGGGCCTCCCGGAGGCCTGTCGCCAAGGAGGGCAGCAAGAGGAAAGGGAAGGGAGGAGAGAGGAAGGATAGAGAAAGGAAACATAAAACAATAATAAGAAAGGAGAAGGGAGGCCCGCAATTTTTGGCGCGGCATCGGCGGCCCGCTGGGAGCAGCTAAGATAGTGTACGCAAAATGGCGTTAGTACAGACATGGTGCCCTTGAATCGCACGGGAATGCAACTCGCCAGCCTCCCATCAGGGACGCGTAAAACCCGAGTATGCCGGAAATCGGGCTTGTTTTTTTGGAGAGCGAGTTTTTCAATATCCAATTGCTGTGGGATGTTTACAGCGCGAATTCGGTTCCAATGTTCAAACTACCTCTCGCCATTTTCATTACAATCCGGCCAGACCAACCCGAGTGCCCCGGACCTAAGTCTCAAGTCTCTCTGATCCAGAATAAATTATTTGTTTCACCGCAAAACAGCAACGAACACAAGGCGAAACAAAGCGAGATGCCAGCAGCGAACCGAAAATCGTCTCAAACGACGGGGCCGCTAGACAGTGTCAAAGAAACAGGAGGAGGAGGAGGACGAGGAGGAGGAGGAGGATGAAGAAGAGGGAAAGCAGGAGGAGGAGGAAGAAGAGGAGGAAGAAGAGGAGGAAGAGGAGGAAGTGGAGGAGGAGGAGAAGGACGAGGAGGACGGGGGGGAGGGGGGAGCAGGAGGAGGAGGAGGAGGAGGAGGAGGAGGAGGAAGAAGAAGAAGAAGAAGACGAGTAGGGGGATGCGGAGGAGAAGGAAAAAGAGGAGAAGGAAGAGGAGGAGGAGGAAGAGGAGGAGGGGAAGGAGGAGGAGGAGGACAACGACGACGATGATGACGAACGAGGAGAAGGAGCAGGAGGAGGAGGAGGAGGAGGAGGGGGAAGAGGTTGCACAACAGCGATTTCTGCAATGGTGGTGTGGGTTCTAACTGTACGGTGGGAAGG